GAACAGTCAACATGGCGTCGTCTCCATCCTTCAGTGCCACTACCCCCGTGGTAACGTTTTCACCTAGCAGCTCACAGGTGGTAGCTCATCCATCGGGCACGGTGATCACTTCGGTTATTAAAGCACCAGAAACGAAACAGCTTGGCGTAAAAGAAGAAGACAGTGACAAATTAGATGATACTGAGCAGTCGGAGCAGAGATTCCAGCAGCAACCGTTTGTGATGGTAGTGTCCAGTTCGAATGGTTTCCCATCTAACGTGCAAGTGAAGCAAGAAAATGAGCCATTGGAACCCAATTCATATTAATAAATAAATTAAAAAAAGACCCTGTGGATGATTGTTTTCATAAATGTGATGGGACCCTTTCAGTTATGTATATATGATTTGATTCTGAAGCAAGATGTTGCAAAGCTACTTAATTTCTGCAGTTGTTAGAATTCATGCTTTAGAATGGATTTTGATTTTCTGTTAATTGCTAAATGTTATCATATAAATAAAATTCTATATTACTCATGTTTCAAAATACAGGCATGAAGGAACATGCTTTTTATGCTATGAAGACTTTCTCCTGAGGTTGTTGGCCTCAAACTTCTTTCTTACTGTACGTTTTCAGTCTGTTGCCGATTTACATTGCAGTACCGTTATTGTAACCTTTTCTGTTTAATCTGTACGTGTATCACTTAACTTTGGAAGCAACAGTTACTTTTAGTGTGGGACATTTTCATTCCATGTGTATGACTTTTTATGATCAAGTATCTGAATTACACCAGTTTTAGACTTGGATAACCAGGTATCCTCTTGCGTTTTTTGCAGCACAAGCTCTTGTGTGTGCAAAATGGAATATACACTCCTGTTGAGAGTACACGAAACATTTATTCCAGTAATGGACAATGCCATGTCTGTATTTTATATGAAAACATCAGATATATTTAATTACAGAAGCTAACGGCATCACTACAGGTGCAAACGTTTCATGCCATTTTGCAACTATGAAGCTTAACAATCTTGCTTTCTACTTCAGATTATTTTGTAAGGGGGGAGGGAAATGAAATATATACAATTTATGCAGGTATTTGGAGATTAATACTGCTAAGAGTTCTTTTTTTTTTGATTGTAAATAATGTACATTCAATGTCACAAGGAAGTTTTTTCAGCTAATTTGTTTCCATACAAATTTTTGATAGATGCAAATAAGATCATTATGTTTAGAGGTCTAATGTTATATGTATTCATATTACAGAGTGAATTTGTATTTAAAGACAAATTTTTAAATGATGGAGCCCTCTGAACCTTGGGTCCTTGTCTTTTGTATTTTTAATTGGTTTATTATGAAAATAAATCAAGTGGAAAAACATTTTTCTGTATTTACTCTGAAATGTTTTTATATTATTATAATGTTTTGACGACCATCATAAATAACCAAAATACACTGAGAAATAGGACAACGCGATTAATCGGTGTGGGTCTGTGGTGGGCCATGAGCGATTCACGAATCACTTCTGAACCGACTCGAGCGCACCCAACGTGCTGCGGGTATCCTTTGAAATAGCAGTACTGTACGTTTTTGTAGCTCAGATGAAGGTTGAGCTAAGCCCAAGAACGGGACTTAAACTTCTCCTTTTCCATCACTTCACAATATCTTACGGACAAACAAGCCAGCACTTTCAGCGTAATTCTGGGGTGCCATTGATCGCAAAGATCTTTGTCGCTTGTATAACACAACTGTTGGCCCAAACCGCTAGGCCTTCAAAGCCTCACATATTGCAGTGTTTCAACAGAAGGTGGATTAAAAATAAATACGATGCCTGGTAAGATTAGTGCAATGTAAAATTAAAGGAAGTATGACTTTCTGGGATTGAATTCATGCAGGAGTTTTATTGATTGGTTCATAAGGTTAAATTTAACTCCAAAGATAAGCATACGAGTCCCCCTCCCATAATGGGAGCAGAACTGTGGCAGAGATAGTTTGGTCTAGTTGACTAGAAGTAACTCTACAAACCGTATCAAACGAGCAGTTCTTTGCCCCAGCTTCCCCGTTTCTTGGCAGTTGAAACTGCCCTGTTTAATTCAGCGTTTCTTCCCTCTGTCTCCCGTGCAGTAAGGCTTCCACCTGCAAATCCAATGCGCCTCACTCCATTTTCAGGAAGGCTGGCCGTTCCCAAACCGGAGCAATTGCTGCCCGCTGACCGGTGGATGTTTATCTGGCAGCGTTCCCCGCAGCTGGGGAGCGCTGGCAATATTGCTAGGAACGTGGGTAAGCGTTGCAGAAGCGCATCCAATACAGTTCTCATCCCGAGGGCTATTTCAGATTGACGAAAGCACTGGAGAGGGAGGCTAGTTCTTTTAATCAGGCTATAAAATATGGACTTTTTCCTGTAATACAAGTATTTCATAATACTAGGAAACCTGAAGTGATAATGCTTGACTGACGTTAGTGTTTTTAAGCGTGGGGAAGTTGTTTAGCTGATTTACTGGAAACATGAAAAAAAAAAAATCACACCATAAGGTTTGAACTTCACCAGCAAAACTTCTTGCCATAGATGCAACTATTATAAAGGGAAAATGATGTGTCAGCTTAGTTTATGTCAGTTGGAGAAATGGAGAAAACCTCCAGCAGACAATAACGGGTCTCCAACAGCAGACCTGTTGTGTAACCAACAGTAAATGAAAATCACTCCCTTCCCACGTCCTTCAGGCTCCAGTCTACCAGCCGGGTGTATCCGTACTCCTGGCTCTCCTTAGTATGACAAAGGGAGGGAGAAGCTGGAGTAAATCATAAAACGAGGGCTCACATCTGGAGTTGGAGCAACTCCTCCCCTCTCACAGCTGCCTTTGTGCCTCTGGCAGCGGCCAAGCAAAACACACGATCTCAAACCCCAGCCGCTGCCGCCTCAGAAAAAATTCAGGCCGCAGTTCTTCTCTCCACGCGTGCGAGGCTGCGGAGGAGAAAAAGGCACTTTTTTCCTGAGGCGTTTCACGGAAGGGAGCCCAGGACAGGGGGAGGA